AGCACAGTTTTGTAGATCAGCTAGTTCAACTTGTGCACGGCTGAAAGTGCAAGATGGGGCTGCGCAGCTGTGAGGAAAAGAGTCGGCTGCACCCAATTGCCGACTCTTTGGGCGTTCTTTGGACACACACTTGAAAAGCGGCCTGCTCAACAATTCCAGGCAGATTTGGTTTGATCAAAACCCACAGTTGATCTTTATCAGTCTTCGATATCACTAATCTTCTTCAAAGCTTTCATCATCGCGAGAAAGACATTTTGAATTACGACTGCACAGCGTATTTTTTGTGGATTCAGACCAAATGCTCAGTTGATATCGCAACTTGCTTCCGCACTTTTCCGAGCAAATTTGAGAGGAAACAAGAAACTTGTACAAACAGCCTGTTGAGTATGTTGTATTCAAGACTTCAAAAAAGAGGAGAAAATGTTTCAGGTAAAGTAACAGTAGACTTAGACAGAGCGAGAAACGCGCTTTCTATTGTTGATATAAAGTGTAGCAGTTTCTTCAAAGTGATTCAGAAATGAAGCGTTCAAAAGTGAGTTACTGTAAACGGCGGAAACTTTCCGAACAACCAAATATAATAATTTAGCCCAGCCCACATTTCGCCTGACACTAAGAACTGTAAATCGCCGAATGCTCTGACACATCCTTCATCCATGACAACACTTCCCCTCTTTCTGACTGTTGAATTCTGGTGCATGAAATTAGCTTTCCTGTTGGCAGAACACTTCACAAAATCCACAACTCATTTCCAAGAAAGCAGAAAAACACTCGTTACTGGGCAGAGTTTTCCTTGATGCTTTGATCAGCCCCAAACTTGAGAAAGCCAACCGGGTTTTTGTTCCTTTAAAGCTTAACAAGGACAAAAACATGCAAACATTGAAGAGTAGGAATTATATTGATGAGAGGAGCAAAGTTCCAAACTCTTGACGCGTTATTTCTTAAAATCTTATTTTTCAGTTATGATTGTCGGTTTCGGGATTTAAGTAGGTCATCATATTCTACACTTGATTTTGTAGGGAATTTATGAATTTGAGGAGTTTCGTAGCATATTGGCCGCGCTCGAACGAAAATAAGTGTTTCCAAGCTTTTGGCACATACGTAGCACCCAATGTACCACACGTGTACCACGAAGGGTCAAGGAGAGTGCAAACGAGAAAGGGTCGCCAACTCCTACATGTCTTTTATTTTCTATGTGGGTATGCGTATGGTATGGTAGAGTCTTCAACCTTCTGGTTCTATATACATACATGTCGCCCAAATTTTTCTTTGACTGCGTGCCATAGTTTACCAACAGCTATAGACTTACAGGTAAAAGACATACGGAAGATCACGAATAGCCGTTAAATGTATGAGCCGCATCCCCATGGGAAAACGCGAGACCACGACCAGGAACAAGAGGTACGTACAAGTTGTAATCTAACTTCACTATTCTTTTTTTTACCGATTTTTGTGGCACCCGATATCGCGCGCACTACAATGCTGCTGAGAACTGGGCTAAGAAGAAAATCACCACAACCCTCACTTAACGATGTGGTCCTGGCCTCGTATGCGCCCTTCTCCTCGAAACCTGCTAGTTGTCGTTGTTAATATGACCGTCGAATTTCAATCTTCATCTACTGTACCCATTCACATGTGCATTTTATTACTAACAGTTCAAGAATTTAGGTTTCCGGCTGCCGAGTTCCCTTTCTTGTCCCCTCCCCCCGTTGTGTCTCTATGGAATCAAAATTGGGAGCATAGGCATCGAAACCGAAGAGTTTAACCCTCGCCTCGCCCACTTGGCCCAACTCCGCCCTCTACCGTACATGCCGTGTAGGGTTCACATCAGCTGCAACTGTTTATACCTTGGAGGCTATTTTTCACCCACTCGGACCATACCGCAGCTAATTTTTGGAAGTCTACGAACGATCGAATTCGCCGGTTTGTAACAAATAAGCAAAGAACAGCAATAAGCAAAGAACAGCAATCAAACAAACCGCCAAACACCACACTGCTGTTTTGTGTAAAATTAAATGGAGATTGCTCATTTTTCGTTTTCTTATAGGTCATTCCCGCAATAAGACTTGATGACGCTGAGTGGAAAATAATCCAGCAAAACACATTCACCCGCTGGGTGAACAATCATCTCAAGAAGGCTGGAGAATCCATCCACAGCTTGGTAACTTACACATTTCTGCTCTGTGTTTTATGTTCTCTATAGAATATGTATGTTTTCTTTCGTTTTGAGTCATTCATCTTATTTACCTAGGAAACGGATTTTTCTGATGGCTTGAAGCTTATTAGCCTCGCCGCTGTGCTTTCACAGAAGAATGTTGGTCGATTTAACAAAAAGGTGGGCATTTACGGCAAGGGTCCGTTTGTACACTGAACACATTAAAGTTAAGGTCAATTTTCGTTCGCAAAAGCTTGAAAATGTGTCACTCGCGTTGAAGTTCTTCCAAGATGTGGAGCATATAAAAATTGTAAATATTGGTAAGTTTTAGATGTCTATGTAAATTCTAATTTGCATTTTTTCGCATGCTATGGCTTTAACGTTACCACGTACAACATTTTAGATAGTTCTCACATCGTGGACCAAAACAAGAAGCTTATTCTCGGTCTAATATGGACACTAATTCTGCATTATTCAATTTCTATGGGATGGATTCAGGTAGGCGATTTCAGCATCCCCTTTCCTCTAGTAGTAAATCAAATTGCTCTCAGCCATCATTAACTTCGAGTTTTACGTATATTTATTCGTATCGCCCTTAACGATCAAGAAAAAAGATTGATTCTGAGTGACCAGTCTAGAAAATTCTCTGCTAATCACTTGGCTGACTGTGTTGTTCCTATTGTAAATATCCAAACATTTTTCCTTATGCGCATTACTCCAGCCACGATTTTGATTCAGCATCATCTGATGCATGCACATCGCAAGTAGTTTCATCAGTAATGATGGGGAATTGGCCCAGTTTTCGATTTTTGCCTATTCTACAGGGAGCCTTTCTTCTTCTGCTACCTTTCACCACTGATATGGATTTTTGATTCCGTCTCCGCTCACTTTGATGAACCTGTCGTGCACCATGATCATTTGCATGTGCACAGCTTTACCTCTCCCCTCAGTTTTGGGCAGGTTCAAAACCATGTTGTAGTTTCTGTTTTAACACCATCTACTTTGCAAGAGCTCGAAGTCGAGTTTTACCGTGGTTTTCCACATGAGTTTAATGCTCATGTAATAAAATCAAATCAATCAAATCAAGCTCCGTCTGCCGTGAAGGTTCACATCAAGCTCGTTCTGCACCGTGGAACACGCTGTTGTTCGTTGTAAGATGATGACGATCTCTTCAAAACTGTTCCCGAATCTCTACCTGCATTACAGCAGACTCGAGAATTTTGTAGCCAGCATTGCTCACTTATGGTTAGGTGGGTGTCAGACCGCATTCGCTGTCGCGATTGCACAAACGAGAGAGCAAAAGTGGAGTCTGACACTTACCGTAGGGACCAGCTCCTACTACAAGTCTATATCCATTTCACGTGGTTAGCACCCTATAGCTCGTTCATCTCTATTTTTCTGCTACTTCGCCTCTTCTGTTCGAGTTTTGAGTTTTTTGTAGTAAGCACGCCCATTAAGAAATTTCCCACCCATCGCGATTGAGTACCTTTTTATCTTGATCGCCAGCCCTGCTCACTTTTTGTAACGATACAACGATTTTTTGGAACAAACCATTTTGGTGCGTGTTCGTCCACTTCAGGCGTGCTGTGTGGAAATATCGCTAGTGGAAGGAAGTATTATAACCTTAGGCCTACGTGAGTTATTAATAAACCAAATCATACTATTATATAAACCAGAGTTTGTTTGTCTGACCGCTCCCCAAAAATTCGCAAGTGTCCCCCACATGTTTATAATTCTTCCTTCAAAAATCACCTAGGGAGGGCGGGTCAAGGGAAATATATTGGCCATGCTGAACTCCGCCTCCAGTGGGCGGGGCGTGCGTCGAAATTACAAAATTTGGTGAAAAAATTGCAGTTTTTGGCTTCAGAACAGTCTAAAGTCAGGGAAAAAATAGGGCCTTAATAGGGTACTTACCGCTCTACAACGGGAATATATTGGCCATGCTAAACTCCACCCCAAGTGGGCGGGGCGTGCGTCAAAAATCGAAATTTCGTTGAAAAATTGCAGTTTTTGGCTTCGGAACAGTCTAAAGACAGGGAAAAAATAAGGCCTTAATAGGGTATTTACCGCTCTACAACTGGAATATATTGGCCATGCTAAACTCCGCCTCCTGTGGGCGGGGCGTGCGCTTAAAGTAAAATTTTTCGTGAAAAAATAGGCGTTTTTCGTCCAAAAACATCCAAAAAACCAGGTAATGGGGGTTGAATAGACCATAGATCACCCCCCTATCATACTATTATATAAACCAGAGTTTGTTTGTCTGACCGCTCCCCAAAAATTCGCAAGTGTCCCCCACATGTTTATAATTCTTCCTTCAAAAATCACCTAGGGAGGGCGGGTCAAGTTTGAAATGGGTAGAGTATGAGTCGCTCTTTAAGGGAAATATATTGGCCATGCTGAACTCCGCCTCCAGTGGGCGGGGCGTGCGTCGAAATTACAAAATTTGGTGAAAAATTGCAGTTTTTGGCTTCAGAACAGTCTAAAGTCAGGGAAAAAATAGGGCCTTAATAGGGTACTTACCGCTCTACAACGGGAATATATTGGCCATACTAAAACTCCTACCCCAAGTGGGCGGGGGCAAATACCTCTGATGAAACGGGAAAATCCTCGAATTTGAACTTTCACGCTTAATAAGCTTCTTTCATCAAAAATCGGGGTGAGGGTATTAAATATGCTTAAAACGAGAGAATTTCCTTATTGTCTCAACTTCTCCCATTTCTTTACCCTCATTCACGACCTACCCACACTCTTAAAACCCAGACACTCCCATAACATAACAATTTTTTTGCATAAAGTTGTGATCGCTTATCATGCGTAGCATCAGTACTTGCTTATTAGAGTACGAATGAAACTTGGCAAGGTTCCTCCTGCAATATAGCATGCTCCTTCCAGCCATAATCAGCGGGATTAAAGAAGAAGGAATAAGCAGGTCGAGCCGCATTTTGCGTGCCTCGGGTCAGTATCATCCCACAAGTAGTCTACTCTCAGCAACCAACTTTTCGCGCTCGGTATCGTGCGCAGCTAAACTGGTTTTATGTTATGACACAAGCCTTACTTGACTC